AGTGATCCAGTACCTGTCCCCAGAGAAGGATGGGAGGCTGAGCCCAGCACACTGCAGGAAAAGGGAATTTCTCTGTTCCCCCATCACACACTTTTTTTTTTTTTTTAAACGATTTGGAGTTCTGCAGCTGTTCCTGGCAGCCTGCCACTCCAGGAGGAAACTCCTCTCTCTGGTTACCTATGGGGATCCCTGCCCCTGCAGAGCGGGTCTGGATGCAGCCCAGCTGTGCAGAAAGGGGCTGGAGCCATGCAGTCACTGCTCATGGCTCCAGTGACGCCCGTGGGGCTGGCAGGGACTGCACAGCGCTGTCCTCAGCCCACATCCCACACCCTGCTGAGCCTGGCCCAACAGCACCAGCCCTCCCACACAATACATTTTAGCAAACCGGCTCCAAAGAACACACCGCAGAGATACCTGGAGATCACCACCTCCACCACGTGCCAAGATACCTGCAGACTAACACCATGCATACACAGCTGGGGATCACCTCCATGAGGCAGCCAGTGATCAACACCACCACCACAGCATCCCACACCCAAACCCATGCAGCCACCAAGCCACAGATGCTCAGAGAACCAACCTTTGGTGGTCCTTTGGTGAAACAACAGGACAGCCTGGTTTGGGAGAGTTGACAACCACGCTTGAACCCGGCACAGATCTCACCCACCAGGTGCCCACCTGCACCAACCACACACATTCATGGGAGCAGCCAGCACGGGACACAAAAAGGAAGTGCCCCACAGCCCAAGGATGCCTGAGCACACACCTTCCTGCATGCCACCCCCAAAGCACAGCTGGAAGGCATCTTCCACGGGAAGCTGGGTTTGGGATTCAAAGCCCTGGATGACACCGTGCTGCTGGCAGACCAACATCCTTCCAGATTCCCCAGTTATCATCCCACCATGGCTTACACCACACCAGCTGCTACACTGCTCTGGCTTCAGCAACTTCACTGAGATCTGAATCCAATAGGAAAGGTTTCACATATTGGGTAAAAGGAGACCTGAGTGTCCCCAGCCAGACACAGATACCATGCTCCCCATCTTCTCTGCAACCAACACCACCTTCCCCAGCTGCAGCACAGCATCCTTCCAGACAGGAGGAGTTAGACAGAAAGAACTACATTGGTTTCCTGAGGTTAAAAAAATAAAATAAATCAATGATCTGCTCTAACGACCATGTTGCATGCTTAAAAGCAAGCTGAAGCTGCTGCAACGTAAATCTTCCAAAGCAAAGACATAATTTTGAATATGAGTATGGATTCTTTTTCCAGGAGGGAGCTGGGTATAGCAGAGGAGAGGAAGGATGAAGTCTCTGGCAGCTGAGCACCACTCTGATCCTCCTCTCCTGCAAGTTGCACTCAAGCTGGCCGCACAGGCAGAGCAATGCCACAAAAAGTATGTAGCAACAGTCAACTAGATTTAAGTTCATTTTCTGTAGCCGGAGGCCAAAATCGACTGAAGTGGTTCTGGTGATCAAGTTTTCTGCAATTCCCCTTTCTATGTATTAGCTCTTTGACAGAAATTCACTGCGGTATTTAAACTGGCAGTCATCACCGCTAACTCAAATTGTATTGGCTTTCACAATGTTGAAACGCTGAACTGCAACCATCAATCGGCCAATTCCGAGATAACGCGGTGGCTGAAATCCCCTGTCATGCTGCACGCTCCCTTTGTAGCTCGCTGGCCGTGGGAGGCACGGAGGGAGCGGGCACTGCATGTGCTGCAATACACAGAATCAGCCAAACGGGAAGCGGGGAGGCAGAGCAGAGAAGCAGAGCGGGGCTGCCCCCTGCCCACAGCATCTCAGAGGGCCGGAGGATTGAGCCAGCAGCCTGCTCAGTTGGATGGGAATAGGAATAAAGCAAAAATCAAAACCCACCCAAATCAATTGCCATGGGTCAGGCAATGCCTGTAGAACAGGTCAAGTCTTGGATGGCGGCCGGGGATCAGCACCGTGCTGCTGTAGGTAATCAGAGCACCGCAGTTAACTTCTGAATAACTCTGATACAGGTGGTGGAAGAGGCTGACTAATGAAACTGCGAGCGGCACGGCGCGTTGTCTGCGTTAACAGTCAGATCTGCACACGTGCTGAGACAAAAAGGGAAAAACACGGTGCTCCTCCCCAACACAGAGACCCACAGCCCACTCCTCCCAGCAGCCTGCTGCCCTGCCCTAGGAGAGGAACCACAGGGAAAGCCAGGAAAAAAGTGCTGCTTCACCATGGTGAGAGCCCATGGCGCTCACAGAGCACCCCCTGCAAGAGAGGTGCCAATGAATAAATAAATAAAGATTGGAAGGGGAAATTGATAAATTATCCTGCTGCTCCTAACAGTTCCCATACAGTTACGCTGGGAAATGAAATGGAAATTACACAGCATGCAAATCCCAGAGTTAACACTCTGCTAATGAAGCACACCGCCCTGCTCCCAAGTGTGCAGTTCTGCAGCCAGCGTCTCCCAGTGCCGGCACTCCCCAGACCCCGCAGCATCTCCCTGCTTTGTGCCTCGGGTTGCAATGGCAAAACCCGCTGCCTTGTGGTAAACAAACACGGCGTTTGGCGCAGACCCGGGCGACCGCTGCACAGCCAGTTCTGCGATTGGCCAGGTTTCAACATGATGCTCTACGAATCTGGGGCAAAGCCTATATTGGGATATTTTTAACCACAACCAACAGATGAAATTACTCGCTGGTCCACCCAGCCCGGGGCTCGCAGGAGGCCCAGCATCACTCTGAGCTGTTGCACGCTGCTGATACGCCATGGGGTTTGGAGTTTGGGCCGTTGGTGATGCGCTCCCCACCCAGAGCATCGTCCAACACGGGACACACCAGGGCTCAGCCCAATGCTGCAGGACCATGGCCACGTGCCGGCCCCAAGAAACAAGGCACCATTCACAAGCACCAGTTATCACCTGGTTCCTGGCTTTGGTCAATATTTAAGTTTGAGCCGGGCAGGTCCCTGCCCTGCAAAGTACACTCGGTGCTCCACGCAGGGAGAGCACGAGCATCCCAAGCCAAACGCACGCACCTGAAGGCCAAACAGGCCCAGGGACACCAAAGTGGTGTGGCAAAGCCAAGAGAGCACCAAAAATCTCCTCACGTGTCTCTGCAGTCAGACCCAAAAGGTGAAGCACTCAGGGGTGCACTGTTACAAAACTGCATTACACTGAGAATTAAAACAATCAGGATTGTGTCTATTTACTGTAAGCTTAAAGCTACATGCATTAAAGAAGTTTATGCGAATCATTTAATGCACTCATGCCTATTGTTAGAATTATTACCAAGCTAAAAAAGATTAGTTTCTCTAAATACACTAAATCCTCAGACATTATTAGGAGGTTGCTGTCAACGTAGCACTACTATGCCTTGGCTGCTAATGTCATCTTTAGCAAAGGCTTTACTACCTAAAGATCCACCTCTGCCTTTCTCCATCCTAACCAGACTCCAAAAAAGATGGGATTTAGCCCAAACGACGAGAGGAGGGGCAGCAGGCGCTGCCAAGTCACAGAGCCCAGCGCTGATGGATGTGCTGACAAACTCCAGGTTGTCAGCCCTCTCTCACCCTCAGTTCAGGAGTTCAACATTTTAATCCGACCCAGTAAATAAAAAGCAGCTATGCAGGAAGCAGCACAGCACAACCGGGAGCAGAACGGTGGCCACAAGACAGATGGACAACCAGCACAGACCTGGATTGGCTTCTCCAGGGAACAACTGAGCTGCCCACCCCCACGTGGGTTCAGCTCCATGTTACATCCATTGAGAGAAGGACATGGGACTGCCAGCAATGCAGATCTGGGCTCTGCTCCCCAAGCAGGAACTGCAGAGAAGGTCCCCATGCTGCTCCCAGCCCAACCTCACACATCTCCCAGCAGCTCAACCCAGGCATGTCGAGGCAGCGAGAGGCTGGGGAAGGGAGGAAAAATGGTTTCCATACCATAGGCTCCCATGAGCAGACAAAAACAGCTCCTGCTACACAATTTAAACTCGCTTGACTCTGCTCCAAGCCCACAGCCAGGTGACTAATCCTTTGATTCAAATTCCTCCCGCTGCAGATCAGTGCTGCAGATCTGGGTGACTTCAGCAGGACAGAGCAGGCAGCCCACCTGCAGCCAGCACCAACAAGCCCTGGGCCATGAGGAGCCACATTTTTCACGAGGACAAAAAGCCCAGGGGGCCCAAACACCATCAGGCATGGTGGGATGAGGTCCACACCATCACCTCCAGCTCATGAGTTCCTCCATGCTGCTGAATTCAAGGAGCTGGTGCTTTTGGGAAACACACCTGAAGAAAAGCCTCTGCTGGGTTCCACCAACACCTCTGCTGAGGACAATTACACGAGGTCCTGCACACACAGGACGGCCCGTGATGGCTGCCACCAACCAACTAAGGACCTGCACACACAGGATGGTGGCGGAGTCCAGCAGGTTGTATGCAGCACCTCTAGGTTCGCTCCAAGCAAGCGAGCAGGTCCAGCAACTCACAGCTGGAGCAAAACAGTTGGAGGAGCCACGTTTTTCATGAAGACAAAAAGCCCAGAGGCAGCAGCAGGCACAGTGGGATGAGGTCCACACCATCACCTCCAGCTCATGAGTTCCTCCACGCTGCTGAATTCAAGGAGCGTTCCCAGCCAGCCAAAGCAGCCCCACAAACCACGAGGCTTTGGGATGACGTTCTGGGGAACCTTCCCTCCATCCCCAGCCACCTCCGTGGCATTTACCAACAAGACAACCTCAGCACCAGGCCCGCAGCCACCGACCTCCACCACCGCGCTCGCGGCCAACGCTTTGTTGCCCAGCGCCGGGTCCCACCGGCGGTCCCGACGCCTCCAAGTGCTGAAGATAAAGCGCCTGGGCTCATTTGCATAATTGCAACGTTATGAAACGCCGTTCGGCCAAAATCGCAGCGCCGCTGTTTGCAAGCACGCTGCTGCCGGCGCGCCGAGGAGCCCGAGCGCCCCAACTCCGTCATTACCGCGAGGAGCAGAAACTTGTTGTTACTCACATAGTCATGGAAGGCTTTCGCTTCGCTCGAATGCTCGCAAGTGTCTCGCCGCTCAGGGGCTGCGCAGTACAGGTCCCAGAACACGCTGCGTGGCACAAACACAGGGGAGGGAGCCCCGGTTACCGGGTGCCCCCGCAGCGCCCGGCGCAGCCCCGGGGCTGCTGACTCACCGCGACCCCCCCGCGCCCCTCACTCACCACCACCAGGAGTGCAGGAAGCCGGGGGGCTCTCCCAGCGTGATGTTCTTCTCCCACCGGATCTGCAGGCGAAAGGAAGGTGCCGCCAGTGGGCTGCGGGGCCCCGACGAGCGGGGGGGACCCCGCCGGCCGCCGCCGCTCGCCCGCCCCGCACAAGATGGAGGCCGGGAGGCGGCGGCGGAGCACAAAGGGCGGCGGGGGGGCTCACCTCGGACAGGAAGGTCTGCGCCGACTTCTGGGCGCCGACGTGCAGCAGGTACTCGTAGACGTACAGGGCCAGCCTGCAAGAGCCCGGCGGCGGTCGGCGGGGGGGCGGCGGGGAGGCCCCCGCCCCGCACAAAGCCCGCAGCCGGGCTCCTCCCGCACCGCACCCCCCCCCACTCCCTCCCTCTCTCCTCCTCCCCGCTTACTTCTCCCGCGCCTGCCCGTCCGAGGGCACGGCCGAGCCTTTCCCCTTGGCGAACATGTTCCGCGCCGAGCTGGGTGGGGGCCCGCCCGCCCGAGCCGCTCTGCCCGCTCCGCTTCGCCGCGCACCGGGGGCTGTCAGAGCGCCGGCCCCCACCGCGCCCCCATGGCCCCGCTGCCGCCGCCGCTGCTTGCCGCGCCCGCCCGCCTGCCGCCGCTCGCCGCGCCGCGCACCCGAACGTGGCCGCGCCGGGCACCGCCCCCTGCTGATTGATGGGCGGTCCCGCCAATCGCTGAGAGGCGGGGGCGGGATCTCGAGTGGACACGCCCCCTCCGCGAGCGGCGGGCGGGCGGCCTCCCGCGGTGGAGAGGGAGGAGGGGAGAGCGCGGCGCCGCGCGGTCCTAGCGCCGCGCTGCGGGCGGGCAAGCACGGCCGGGCGGAGGGGAGCACTGCGCCTTTAAGGTGCCGAGCCGCCGCGCGCTGAGCGCTCCGATTGGGCAGCGCCGCGGGGAGAGCGGAAGGGGGGCCTTGAAACCGCCCGCCGGGCTGCGCGGGGGGGCGCGGCGGGCGGGCGCTGCCTCAGGACGCGGTGCTCGGGCCGGACCCCCCCGCCTCGGGGAGCGTGGAACCCGGTGCGGAGCTCCTCGGAGGGAGCCGCCGGCATCGCACGCTGGGGGTGCGCCCCAGTACCGTGTGAGCGCTCGGGGTTACTGCGGCATTAAGTCGGGGGGTCCCGAGGGGTCACCCCCCGAAAACTTTCTGATCTAGCAGCGTGCAGTGACACAATGAAGCCCCCCCCAAAAAATAAGGGAGCGGGCCCCTAAGCGGGGTGCTGCGGGGACTCGTGGTCTGAGCTGCGCTCCCCGCCTTGTCCCACCTGGAGCCCTGCGGAGCTCCTCGGCCCGGCGCTGAGCGCTGCGCTGTGTGATCACTGCCCTGCGCGGCCCCGCACCGAGCCCCGCTCCCGCACCGCCTCCGGCTGCAGTTTCCACGGGAACAGATGTTGGAGCGGCGCAAAAAAACAGGGCTTCAAAAAGCTCTTCCCACCCCGGCCTCACCTCTGCCACCGCTGCGCTTTGCCAAAGGGACCGGCAAAAAAACAGTGGGGACGGAGGGCTGCCGAGTAATGAAACGCTAACGGTTGAGACGCGGGCGCTGAGTCTGGCCCTGCAGCTGCGCGGCCGGAGCGGGGCCGTCTGTGGGAGCTGTGGGCTGCAGGAGGAGCGGCAGCGCCAGGCAGAGCTGCTGCCGTGGGAACACTCGTGGCCATCCGGAGCTGTGCGGGCAGGGCCCGGCTCGCTTGGAAAGAGCTGACCGCAGTGCAGATCGGAAAGTGTCAGGCTGTGAGTCGTCGGGTCCTGCGTGGAAGGAGCGAGCGGAGCCTGGCTTTGCGCCGCGCGCTCCTGCGGCAAGGCCGGGCTGAGCATCGGGTCACGGCGAGGCACAGACCTCGTGCCTCCAGAGCCTTTGCAGCCCGCTGCTCCTCTGCTGTTCTTATGGGCTGGGCGGTGACCGGGAGCCTCTCCTGGGATTGAGGCCGTGGAGGGCAAACCGCCTGCACGAGGGTAAAGAGGAGCTAAATATCCCCGTTAAAAATAATACCCTCGTATTCAGCACATTTTGCACGGAGGAGGAAAATGCTGGTGTCCCCAGGGTGATCTGCGCTGTGCTCTTGGCCAGGAACAAATGAAATAAAGGGCCTTTCTGTGCCCGCACCATCGTCCCTTCCCTGCCCCACGCAGATAAAGTGGAATGGCCGCAGCTGCTTCTCTGCTCCTCACATTTTGCAGCACATCAAGCTCTACATTCACTCCTCATCAAGAGTTTATTTCCCTTTAACTCATTGATCCTCTGAGATACTGAGCAGACAAAAACCAGTTCCCTTCTTTCTCCTGCCCCTCAGGTCACTGGGGATGAGAAATTCAATAGGAGTTGGGATCTGCCCCTCCTTTGATGCATCCCAAAGGTCGGTCTGCAGGTACCCAGCCTGGAGAGGAGGTCAGGGAGGATGTCCCCAGCATGGGGACAGCAGAGGATGGATGGGGACAGGCGTCTTCCTGGTGCTGCCCCTGACTCAGCTTCTCCCCCATCCCCCGGACCAGCTCTGTTTCTCAGCTGTTGCTAGGGGAGATGGAGAGCAGTTGATTGAAAGCTTCCTGCAAGTGGCACCAAGTCTAAATATTGCCATTCCTATGCAAGCGAACCCAGGAGCATGACTGCAGGACAGTGAGGGTGGAATTCCCATCCTGTGTGAACTGCACCGCTCCCTGCAGCCCCAGCCTTGTGTCTTCCACCACCCGATGGTGAAACGATTTGAGCAAATTATAAGACAGTGCTTTGGACCAACTTAGCTCAAGATCAGAAGGGAGGCTAATTTCATATCTTCACCACCGCAGAAGGCAATTAAATGGCTCTGCAAAGTTTGAACACAGGTTAGGACAAGAAATTTTATAATCAGAAATCCCAACACCTGCGGCCAGCAGCACAGACTGCTTGAGTCATGGGAGGACGTTGCGAGCCTCCTGAGTGCTCCCAGGGCTTGGAGAGGTAATGTCCTCAGCTCAGGTTTCTCTCTGCTGGGTTTTCCTTGGACTTCTGGCAGTGAAGGCACCAGAATTCATTACAAACTCAAACCAATAACCACCTGCCTGAAGCTCTCCTGCGTGACGGCTCACAGAGCTGGGTGCCTCCCTCCCTGCATCCCGCAGTACCTGCCAGGCAGGCACCGAAAGGGCCCCGCTCTGCTCAGCTCCAAGGCAGGAGAAAATGCTGCTGGGCAACCAAAGGGCCAAAGGCAGCAGCCCCTGGCACAGCAAGGGTGAGGTGTGAGTGCTGCCGCAGGCTGAGCCCAGGCTGGGTGGGATCCCCGTGGGCAGGCTGCTGTGGGCAGGGATGCGCAGCAGGACGGGCAGGTTTGGGAGGGAGTAGCTGTGGGAAGAGTGGCCTCACCATGATGCATATTAACGCTCCGCGGGCTTTAATTGCAGTGGGACCTATGGCACGGAGCCATTAGCATGCAATGTGGAGGAACACGTATTTTTGGGAGCCCTGCCTGTTTTGTGGCCTTGTGGTGGGGGGAGGCGGTGGGATGCAGGGAGAGGTGCCTGGTCCCCCCAGGAGTGCTGCTGGAGGTGCAGCTCCTTCCTCAAGGCCCTGAATCATCCCCGCTGCCATCTGCTGCACCCTCGCTCTTCCCTGCAGATGTCCTTCTTCCTTCCCCAGAAGGAGATGAGAACTGAGGATGAGGTGCCAAATGCAACTTCAAACAGCATCTAATAAAACACGGGATTAATTTCTTCTGACTGCTGTTCAATGGCTCTGATTAAGCAGAGCAGAATTTAATTAGCTTGTTTGGACTGCCTCTAAACCTGTGCCAAAGGTGGGGGAGCCTCAGTGTCCGGGTCCCCCAGCATCCATGAGCTGCTGGGGTTAGCCTGTGCTGCTCCACTGAGCAGAGCCTGCTGCATACCCAGCCTGGTTGGCAGCAGTTTTGGGATCCCCAGAACCTTCATCATCTCTGCAAGCCCCCCTGCAGCCAGGATGGGGGCTATTTGCTGGACGTGCTGCTGGTGGCAATGGGGATGGGAACATGGAGCCTCTCGGCATTAACCAAACTCATCCTGCTGAGTCCTTGAGTTCAAGTAACCCTGTTCTCTCCCTGATTTACTACGACTTGCTGGCTCCTCTTCTCTCCCTCCTCCTGTCTCCTTTAACCCATTTCATTATCTATGCTAGCTTAGGCTTGCCTACGTGGGAACATCACACTGAGGTTATTGCAAAATAGATGGGCTGTGAATGCAAAATGCAGCAGCCCTCCCCAGCAGCACTGACTCCCTCCCTGCCATACCTGTGCTCAGCACGCTGAAGGACCCAGGCTCCCCCGCTGCTCCTGGGGTCTGAGGCTGCAGCTTCCCCTCCGTGCAGACAAGCACACACAGAAGGCATGCATTTCCCTTCCAGCAATGTGTTGCAATTAAGCATCCCCTCCCTACGCAACCCAGCGCCCAGGCAGGTAACTCCAGGCCAGAGCCACAGCCCCAAACTGCTCATTTCTAAGCTCTTTATGGTGTATTTAGTTTTCCATATAAAAAAGCAAAGAGGGCATGGAAGATCTGCTGGCTGAGGCGAGGAATGGACCCAGCAGCTCCTTTTCTCCCTGCAGACGAGGCTTTATAAGCTCTGTAGAGTCACCCCAGCACTGCTCCTCACCCTGGGGCCGTATCACTCCCTGCTCCCTTATCAGCCACCTGTGGGTATCCCCGCCTGATACCGGGCCCTGGGTGGGCTTGGGGCATATGGCAAAGCAGAGAGGGAATGGGGTGGGTGCCCCCGAGAAGCCCATCCCTCTGATTTCTGAGCAAAACTAGAACCAAAGCAGGGGAGTCCATAAAGGGAATAAGAAAAGACATCTACTTTTATATGTGCACTTAAGTATTTAGGTCAGTATTTTTAGAATAAATAGCCGTGGGTTGGTTCCTATCTTTTCACTTTCATTTTTCACACTTCAGCTTCATTTTCCTGACGCTGGGTAGCTGCAGAAGCGGTTGGATTTCAAGCACCCTCGCACCTCCCGGCACGCCGACCTCACTGCCTCTGGTTTCCCTCAGCCCCCCTATCCCATTCTTTTTCCTGGAGCCATCGCTGCATGGTCCAAATCTCCCAGTTTTCATGGCTGATGGTGATAAATGGAAGGCTCGCCCTGCAGCCGGGCCATCCCACAGCGATGCTGCCTGGTTCCATCCCGCTATTAAAAGCAAAACCATCCAGAAGGGTCCTTCAGAGCAGAGCCGTCTTCCCAGGGAAACATTGGCAGCCTCGTTTGGCAGCAACAGTGCCTGGATTTGCTGAAGGCCTCCAAAATTAGATGAGGCTTGGAAACTTGTGATGGATGTCACTGCGGCAGCGTGGAGGGGGGGCTCCAGCATGGTGCTTCCCCCAGCCCGGGTGCTGCTCAGTGCCTGCTTGTCCCCAGGGCTCACTGCAGCACAGCACAGGCACACGCAGTGAGAAGCAACAATCCCAGGGTGCTAAATGTGCTCCGCGGGGGCTGCTGTGATGTGCCAAAGCGATGGAGCTCCTCGTAAACACGCTGAGGATAGGAAACAAGCCCTCAGCGTGTCAGCAGGGAGCTGGGCAGGGGCTGCTCTGTCCCCGTGAGCTGGAGACACGGGGGGCTCTGAGGGCACAGCGGACAAGGAGCACTGGGGGCACACGCTGGGGCTGGGCTGTCAGCACGGCGTATCCCAAAACAAAGCTCCCCTCCTCCCCGGCTCCATGGTAGCGTCACCTCCAAGAGTTATTCACAGATAAACTCCATAAATTCGGGGCACAGCCATTTTATCACTGCTGGCAGCTCGGCGAGCTGCTTGCTCCAAGGTGAAGGCGAGGGAGGTGGGAAGAGATGGCAACGAGCTCCCAGCACAGCGAGGGGCACCGTGCAGGGCTGCATCCAGCCAGACCCTCACCGCCCAGCAGGGCTTTGTTGGCCAACGCGAAAGGCAGGGCAGAAAACCACCTCCTCTGCGTGGGATGATTTATTTTGCCACGCAGCTCCAGCCTGTTTTGCTGCATCATTCCCGGTGTTTTATTGCCTCCGGCCGGGGCTGCCGCCATCCGCCGTGCAGCACCCAGCCCTCAGCCCGGCGCTGCGTTGGCTCTGAATGCTGCCGGGCCCGCCCTGACCCCGGGGCCTGGAGAACAGCGGTGTGGATCGGTGTGGAGCGGGAAGGACGGCAGAGGCCAACCTGGGGCTTCGGATGGGGAACGATGCGCAAATCTCTGGGGCCGGGAGGGACACCCCACCTCCCTGCCTGACAGCACCGCCTCAGCTCGGAGGCAGCCACATTTCTCCTGCCAGCAGGGAACGGCCAAGGGCTTTCCCCGTGTGCGTGCGCCTGCAGGAGCCCGGCAGCACGGAACCAACGCGCGGGCACCGCCAACTGCTCCGCATCGCCAACCCAGAAGCGTTCTTTGTAGGAGGGAACGGGGGATGCCCCCGCCGGCAGAGCCCGGCAGCGAGGCACGGCTCCGGGAGCGCTGCGCTGCCCGTCGCTCCGTGCACAGCGGCGCACCTCGGCGCACGTCGCTCCCTGCCCGCTCCCTGCCCGCTCCCGGCCGCCCGCGCTCCCCCGGGGCCGCCCGCCCGCAGCGCGGCGCCGCACGGGGCGGAGCGGGGCGCGGAAGGGGCCTCTTGAAACCGCCGCGTTCTGATTGGGCCGAGCGCCCGCTCCGGCCCCGCCTCCCCGAGGCTCTCGGGGGCCGGAGCCGTCCGGCCCCCACCCCCGCCCCGGCCCCGCAGGCGGGCCGCAGCCGCCGGAAGGCCGCGCCTGGGCGGGCGCCACGCCGCGCCGCGCCGCGGGGAAGGAGGGGGGAGGCCGCGCCGCCGCTCGGAACAATGGCGCCCTCTGGCGGCGAGAGGTGGAACAGCGCGCTGCGGGTCCTCGGCCTGCGGGGCGAGCGGGAGCGGCTGCGGGGCGAGGAGAGGCGGGGGCCGCGCGCAGGGCGGCTCGGCGTGCGGGATGCCGCCGGCTCGTCCCATCCTCACCTCACCCTGCTGCGGTGCCGTGCCTCGCCCAGGCCACTGGGTCCCCCAGCTTTGTCACCGCGCAGTAATTAACGGAGTAATTAAGCAGCGCGGCCGCAGCTTCGTGCCCTGCCTCCGCCTCTACGCGCGGCCCTCGTTATTTACTCTTAACGATTTTACAGTATTTTAACACCAATCCCTGCGAAATTTCCCTCGTCCCAAAGAGAATAGCTGCTTGTAACCGCTTGCTAATTACAAGGAGGGATGCCAATTAATTCGTTTAGCTAATTATCCACTCGCTAGGCACCGCGCACCGAGGGTCTGCGAGGGACGGGCGTGCGGTGCCGGCTGGACGCACCCTGCAGGGCCACGGCTGCGAGCTGTAATTACAGCATTGCGCTAATTGTTCTGGGATGGGCGGCTTTTCGGAGGGAGCTGGGTGCGGGCTGAGCCCCGAAAGCCGCCTCGCCCCGCACCTCGCGGCCCCGAGCCCGGCAGCAGCGCTCCGCCTGCCCTGCGCTGCTCCCAGCTCGTTGCCAATCTCCAGGCCCTGCTTCCTGCTGAATTCCTCGCGTTATTTCACTCCTGCCTTTCCAGCCGCAGCGTGAGGAGCTTTGATCAGTGCCTCGTACCTCGATTACCAAATGTTCCCTGCTAAAAACACGCAAACAAAACACAAACGGAACAACGTTTCCCCAAGAGCCAACGGGCGGTGACACGGCGATTTGCATTTCTTTCCTTGTATTGGTAACTTTTTGTACCATCCCCATCGGGGCCGTTTCGTGCGCAGCAGCTCCGGGCTGAGAGCACGACCTTAAGAATTGCGCTGTGATGAAGGGCTGAGCTCTGGCTGCTTCCCAAGGACGCAGGGCTGCCCGCTGCCGCCGAGCCCCGAGCTGCACGCAGGTGTCCGCACCCCTCCTCCTTCTCCCTCCCTCTCCTCCTCCTTCTCCTTGCATTCTTCCTCCTCCTCCTCCTCCTGCTCTTCCTCCTCCTCTTCCTTCTGCCGCCGCCACGACACGCTGCAAATGCTCAGCTTCTTCTGGCTGAGGTGAGGGCAGAGGGGATGCCCAGGGGGCGACGTGGGGACAGTGGCATGCGAGTGGGACCACGGAGCTGGCGCGGCAGGCGTGGGAGCAGTGCCTGCTCTGACTGGATCGGTGTTGGGAGAGGTTTGGGGCAGTGATCTGGGGGGGGAGTTTGGGGTGAACCAAGACTCCTTGTGCTTAAAAGTAGACAAATACTCAGGAAAAGTGGGCAGTGTGGGCAGGTGGATTGTGTGGCAGCTCGACACTGCGGTGCTATGGACCATAGTGAGCCCAGCTGTGATGGTCCTCATGGGGATGGTCCTGACTGTGGTGGTCTCAGCCATTGGGGTCTTGACCACAGCAGTCCTGGTGGTCTCTTCCCCAAGGAAGCCATGGGAGCAGGTGGGCATCTGCTCTGGGCAATGCTGTTGGATGTCCCCATGTTTGTGCAGTCTGTCCCCTGCGCTGCTGGCACCTACAGGGGCTCACACAGCTCTGCTCCCTGTCTGGGCTGGTGGCAGCGGTGCTGGGGACCTTTGTCCCCCACTAAGCATTCAGAGGACTTTGTTCCCATGCTGGCCTCGTTGCCCATAGCCCTGGGGATGTACAGGAGCCATGGGAGGAGGATGAGGACGGAGGGTCCCAGCTACGCTCACAGCACCAGAAGTTTCTCATGGCTGCAAGCATACAGCCCTCAGCAAAGGGATCCAGGTTATGCTTTCTGGGCTTGATACCTTGTTCTGCTCTGTGAAACCCCAGTGGAGGGCATGAAATGTGTTCCCCAAAAAACTCTTGCATGTATCTGACTGTTCCCTGTCCCCACTGTGCTGTCTGTCCCAACGTGGGCACAGCCTCTCCCACCATCAGGCTCACCTCTCCCACTGCCCTGTTGAGGTGGTGGGATTTCCCAAAGTAGGTCAGGTTAATTTTTCAATGCGTGCTGATTTGCTTGTTACCATGGATATTGCTCAATTATACACCAATAATCCTCCCCAGAGAACTTCATTGTTGGTGCTTTCCTTCCCCCTGCTTTTTTCTTTCAAGATTCCCAGGAATGGGTCAGGATGTGTCAAGGGAATGGAGTGGGAAAGAGAGAGCAAAGATGGATAGGGGAAATCTGGGCTGGGCTTTGGGGAATGCTCATCTGAGTCAGTGAGAGTGGGCACTGGAGGCTCAGTGTGTCCATGGCTACACTCTGCCCTGCCAGGACCCAGCACCATAGTCCCCCAGCATCAACCTGCTTTTTGGGGGTGGCTCAGCCAAACACCATGTTCCTGGGGCTCAAGGACTTGAGGATCCACGCAAAAGGAAAATGAAAAAGCATCTCTCTTTTCCTCTCTCGATCAATTGCTCCCAGTTCAACTCAGCTTGGCTTTGCGAGTGCAGCAGGAGGCAAGAGAAATATTCTTCCAAAGGGTTTTTCTTTTTGTAATGCAAACTTTATTTTTTTGGTGGAAGTGGGTCACTGGAGGGGTGACAGAGTAAGAGCATCATCGCCTGGGTGATACATCTTGTTGCCATGGTGACCTGGGGGCTGCATCAGTCAACAGCTTTAAACATTTGACAGCTGAGTAAGATGGAAGATTTTAATGAGGACAGACACTTGCTTGCTTAGTTTCAATAACCGAATTCTCTATAAATACCCTCGGTCTGAATGGCTGCAGGTCTCCAGTGTGCTGTGAGTAGTGTGGTTGGGCACTCCCCTTCCCCATGTGTTCCAGGGTAGCGAGTGTGTGCCCACATCCAAAACAATTGAGGGATGCAAAGCAGGTGGCTCTTTGTAATTCTTTTCCTCTCCTGCTCATGTTGGAACAAACGAGGTGACACGAGTGCAGTTGGGGAGCACAGACTTTGGGTTTCCAAGGCACGTGCTGGACCATGTGTCCTTGACATTGGTACCATGGCTGTGGGGCGGGATGGGGCCACCCCCACCACTGCCTGCAACAAACCAAACCTGGGGAGCAAAGGCTGCTTGCTAGGAGCAGATGGACTCTTGTGCTGTGCTCTTGCTTGCAAGAGGTGAGCCATAAGCAAGCTCCCAAGGTTCAGCTGCAATCTGGAGAAGATGTGGGGCTTGGTTAAAGCAAAGCAAGGCACTGCTGGAGTGGAATCATCAATCAGGCATGGATATTGGAAAAAATTTGTTCTCATCCCTTGCAATGCCACCACCACACCAGGTGTTCCCAGTGCCTGCAGTGCTTCATTCCGGGCCCTGTGCCGGGCAGAGGTGTGGCAGGGATGGGAGCTTCCCATTTGCTGCTCCGCTGGCAGCCAGGCACAGTGTGAGCCCCTCCAGTGCCAAGGGCATGCTCCTTGGGTCTTGTGACTGCACTGGTGTCACTGTGATGTCCGTACCTCCAAGCACAGCCCTCTGTCACATGTAACAGTGTGGAAAATCCTCAGGCTGACCCCTGTGGAATGGCAGGCTTGGGACCTGGCTCTGCCCTTGGGCTTTAGACCCGCAGCCGTCATGCTGGATGCTGTGTTAGAGAACAGGGCTGGGCTCCAGCTCTCCCTGTCCCTCTGGGGTGAGCTGTGGGGTTGACTGCGGCCAGGGCCACCCTGCGAGTGCTCTGTGCTGAGCCCTGCCGTCACCTTTTGTCTGTTTACAAGGTGCTGGCAGCTTCCTCCCCATGCTGCTGTGTTCCTACACATGGATTTAGTCAGCTCTTCCCAAACCAAATGGTTGTGTGCATCCCAGTGCAGAGTGCTCCAGCACTTGGGTCTCTCTGTACTGCCTCATATCCCCCTTTATGGCAACGTCCCCACGTTCTGCCATCCCTCTTTTAACCCTAGCTGCTCTTCTCCTTTCCAGGTGTCTTTTAAAAATGGTCAAAGGGAACATTGTAGTCCCTGAAGACATCCTGAGTTTCTGTTGCAATGGCCTCCAGGTACCCAGTGTGCTGTGCCAATAACCCTGGGGCTGCCGGCATGCAGTGCCCCGTCCCTATTAACGTCCCCAGCCACTGAGATCATAACTGTGCTGCAGAAAGCTTTGGAGCTCTGCGTAGTGCTGGCTCACGCCCCAGAGCCTGCTGCCTTCCAGAAATAGCTGTGTCCTTGTGCTGTGGACACCCGGGGGGTTTGTGGGGGGCTCGAGGCTGCCGGGACGGGTGCCCCTTCCTTAGGGCTCACTCGCTGCCTTCGATAACCCGAGGTTTGTGCCGTTCCTGGGATGCTTTGTACCAGTAGCTATGGAAACAGAAGGCTCCTGTTAGACCAGTGATGGAAAATGCTATTCTGAGAAGCGAAGTGGTGTTCGGTGAGCCTGGGGTAGGAGGGAAGGCTGTGTTCTGAGAATAAAGCATTTACAAAGGCAGCTGGAGAGAAGCAGAGGGGAAAGAAGCTGCTGCGAGTGGGATCTCGCAACAAGTGCTATAAATGGGGGACATTGTTAGAGCAGAAAGCGGAAGGAAGCTCTGTAATGAAGCCCAGACTGCTCTCATGGCTCCTCAATTACTCACAGGGTGCACTGAGTTCAGCCCTTGTGTAACACGGCCCACTCCATGCTGAATCTTCTCTCCTGACAGCACAGCCACAATCACGGTCCTTCTAAAACACCACTCTGTGCCTGGTGAGCCAGGGGCCGGGCAGGAACAGTGCTGACCCCTGCATTCATAACATTTTATTCTTCTCTCCCCAGCGGTGCACTGCTGGAGCATCCTGCCCTGCCAAGCAAGGTTTCCTCGTCTCCTGGAGATGTTTCTCCTATTTGTACAGAGCCGAGGAGCAGGTGCCCTCTGTGGCACCAACATTTGGGATGGGAAAAGCAAACGATGGGGTTCCAAGCATCGTGGTCCCCATGATCCCATCCCACAGGCATGTTTGCTAATCAGGCTGGGTAATGAACCGTATCCCTGCCCTCTTCCCACAGGGCTCGACCTCACCACCGTGCACCCAGGACACAGGGGAGCAGCAGGAGGAGGCTGCGGGGGCCATGGGTGGCCACAACCCCACCGAGGTGCAGATGAGCCAACTGGTTCTGCCCTGCCACAGCAATCAGCATGGGGAGCTCAGCGCCGGGCAGCTGCTCAAGTGGATCGATACGGCTGCTTGCCTCTCGGGTAAGCTGTGCCTGGGCATTTGTAGCACATCAGTTTGGGGAGCTTGTCCTGCATGGGGAGGAAAATGTGCTGGTTGAGGATGCTTGCAGCAGCGTTTGGTGATGGAAAGGAAAGCAACAAGCAATGGCATCGTCTCATGCGGACAGCAGGGGTGGAGGGAGAGGGCTGGGGTGGGGAGATGTGGGGCTGCTTGCGGGCAGCAGCGTGCCATTCCCTGCCTGCTGCCCACAGAGCTGACGGCAGCTGGGCGCCGTGCCATTCTGCTGAGTAATGGAGCAGCCAGCAGCAGGACAGGGGGAGGTGGCTCTGCTGCACACAGCTTCTTGGTCTGTGTCTGCTTCCCCCTAACCACTGCCCTCCCTGTGGCCTCCGTGCAGCCAAACCCACACCAATGAGACCAGGAAACGGGGGCAATTCTGCAGTTTGGAGATGCTTTTGTAGTCTAGAGGGGAAGCTAAGCCAGCAGCTGGCTTTACAGTAGTTGCTGTGTAGGGATAGATGGTATCAGTTGTTGTGCATTGCTGAGAAAGCATCATCAGGGCAGGGCAGACATTGAGGGTGATGTGGCCAGGAGCTGCCCCAGGGGTGAACCCTGGGCAAAATGTCTGCAGAACAGAGGTGGGAAAACCAAAAATGCTGCTCTTAGTGGGCACAGATGGGAAAAGGGCAGAGACGGGAGCAGGGTTTTGAGGTTGTTATCACCCCGAACATTGGGCTGGCAGCTCCGTATGCTGCTGCAGGCTGCAGGCTGCTGACGCTGTTTGCTGTTCCTTCTCAGCTGAGAGACATGCTGGCTGCCCGTGCGTCACTGCCTCGATGGATGACATCTATTTTGAGCACACCATTAGGTAAAGGTGCCACTTTCTGCCCTCTCTCTTGGCTGGGTGTGGGGCTGAGGCAGAGCTGCGCTGTGCTGGAGCTTTCCTACCCATATGCCTTCCAGTGCCCTGCTGCCAGCCCAACTGGCTGCCAGGTCCTGGGCACATCTGCCCCTGGTGAGGTGCTGTTCAGGGTGCAGGGACCCTGTGGCCATCCCGTTTTCTGTTGCTATTGCCAGTAAGGCACATTTGCTCGTTTGGCACCTCAGCAAGGAGCTGCTCAGCACTGGAGCATATGCTCTGCACACTTGTGGGACCTCACCCTCCGCTCACCTCTTGTCCCTTCTCCTCTCTATGTTTTCCAGCGTTGGACAAGTCGTTAACATCAAAGCCAAAGTGAACCGAGCCTTCAACTCCAGCATGGAGGTCTGTGTGCTGCAACCATGCTTTGCCCCCTGTGTCCACCCTTGGCATGTTGCTGTCCCTGCCAGCTGCACCCTCTGTGCTGTGGCCACCTGCAGAATACCTGCATACTGCTCTGTTCTGTGGCTCGGGGGCTGTGCTGTCTGTTCTGCTCACTCTGGCTCAGCCTGGGGTGATGCTGCCTTTACACATGCACCTGCTGCTGCTTGGGCACCAAACTGCTCCCTTTCTTCTGTGCTTGGTTTCAAGATCCCAAACTACGCTGGGCATCACTGTGCTTCACCCGCTGCTTTCAGCCCCCTCCTTTCTCAGGAGGAAATATTTGGGATAAGGAACCCCTGCACGGGCTTGCAAAAACTTCCTGCTTTGTGCTGGTGGTGCTGGCTGAACATCAGTCCCTGCCACCCATACATGTGGCTCAGAGGCCCTGTGCTGTGCCCTCTGTCAGGTGGGCATCCAGGTGAGCTACGAGGACCTGTGCAGCGGGAAGCACTGCAGCATCTGCAAGGCTTATGCCACCTTTGTGGCGCAGGGTCCCCTAGGCACCAAGGTAAGTACTGTGCAGTGAGCCCCGTGCCCAACCTGCAGGAAACCACCTCTGCAATAGGGGCTGGGGGCAGGTGGGGCTGTGCCTAAATTTTCGCGAGCCGTGGGGACATGGGCAAGCAGGAAGAGTCATTTCCCTCAACACAATCAACTCAGCCAAGCATGCAGAGCTTGCGTAGCTCTGCGTGTGACTTGGGATGCATGCCACCCCTTGGAACCCTACACAGGGCCCACCCCATCCATCACCCACACCTAGGTGAAGCTGAAGCCGCTGACCCCGCAGACAGAGGAGGAGAAGATTGAGCACAGCATTGCTGCCGAGCGCCGTCGGATGCGGCTGGTGCACAAGGACACCCTCAAGGACCTCCTCACCCGCAACACCAGTAACACCGGTACTGCATGTCCACAAGGGAGGTGTGGGGTCAGGGGTGGGGGTGGCCGTGGCACTGAGCCCCGTGCTCCCTGGCAGAGATGGAGATGAGGGATGGCAGTGCGGTGGTGCCGGCTGAGAAGACGCGAGTGGAGAGCGTGGAGCTGGTGCTGCCGCCGCACGCCAACCACCAGGGCAACACCTTTGGTGGGCAGATCATGGCCTGGATGGAGAACGTGGCCACCATTGCAGCCAGGTGCCTGCAGGGGGAAGGGGCATCGGGGCGGGTGGGTGGGCTGGGCCACAGCTGGGTGGTGGGGGCCTTCTGGAGATGGTGGAGTGACAGGGACCGGCACGCAGGGATGGCACTGGGAGTTGGCAGTCCCACATGCACACAGTGGTGCTAGGGAAGGACAGGCACAGCTCCCACAAGGGTCCCCTGGCTCTGGCTGTGATGGGGATGGTGCATGGAGTGACACCTGCCCTGCAGCCGGCTGTGCCATGCCCACCCCACGCTGCGTGCCATCGAGATGTTCCACTTCCGCGGGCCGTCGCAGGTCGGGGACCGCCTGGTGCTCAAGGCCATCGTCAACAACGCCTTCAAGAACAGGTGAGTGCTGGTGGCAGCACCTCTAGTCTTTCTCATGGCTCCCCATGCCTCACCCCTTCTTCTTTCCCCCCCCACCCAGCATGGAGGTGGGGGTCTGCACCGAGGCCTATGACCAGGAGATGTCTGTCAGCCGGAGGCACATCAACAGTGCCTTCATGACCTTCGTGGTGCTGGATGAGGAGGGCCGGCCCCGCACGCTGCCCATGGTCGTGCCCCAGCCGGGGGTAAGGACAGCAGTCCCCCTGTAATCCCATGTCCCCGTGTCGCTGCTGCAGTGGCACACAGCTAACATCCATCCCTTGATCACAGTGCTGCTACAAGAGAGGCACTGACATCAGCTGATGGGCTCTTTGCCTGCTCCCAGCACACTGAAATAGCTCCCGGTTAATCTCTGGAGCACAGGGCTTCACCTTTCAGCCCTTTGCTGCTGAATGTTTTACCCACTCTACAAAATATATATTTTTTTCCTCCTTTTCCATTAACCTGGTGTGCTTTTCCCATTTATCAGGATGGAGAAAGGCGGTACAGAGAAGCCAGTGCTAGGAAGAAGATTCGGCTGGACCGGTGAGAGCAAGTGGGATACTGGGATGGAGGGGGGAAATGGGAGATGGGAAGAAATGGGAATCTTCTTGCTTGGCACTGGGGAGCAGGGACTCCCCAGCTTTTGCCCTGCTGTAAGGAAAACTCTTTCCTGCAGGAAATACGTTGTCTCCTGTAAGCAGACGGAGGTGCCGCTGTCTGTTCCCTGGGACCAAAGCAATAAGGTGTGTGCCTGCAGGTGGCACTGCCTCCTGCCTGTGTTTTGGGGATACCCCTGGCCCTGATATGCTGCTCTGTCACAGGTGTACCTGAGCTACAACAACGTCTCTGCGCTGAAGACACTCGTAGCCAAAGCCAACTGGGTGCTGGCCAGGGAGAAGGAGAAGGTACAGCACTAACCCAAGTACTCTGAGCTGTGCCAAGAGTGCAGGCATGCTGGGTCCCATGCACGTCCCAGCCATACTATGTTTGTGCTCCCCAAGGTGCAGATCTACACGCTAGAGGAGGACAAGTTCCTCTCTTTCCGCATTGAGATGTCGGTGAACATCTCAGCCAGCCAGGCCTTCTCCCTGCTCTCCGACCTGCGGCGCCGGCACGAGTGGGACAGCCACTATGAGTGAGTGCTGCCGGGATGGCGTGGGAGCAGACGCCCGCCCCTTTCCAAAAGCACACCCTTTGGGCTTCCCTGGGGCCTAACATCTCACCCCAGAGCTGTTTGCATGCCTTGAACAGTGTGTTCCCATCCCTGGGGTTGATGGCACTCTGTGCACAGCAGCTCTCACCGCCCATTGCCGTTCTCTCTCCCACCCGCAGGAGTGCCGAGCTGGTGCAGCAGGTGGATGAGGATGATGCCATCTACCACGTGCTGAGCCAGGCACTCAGCTCTGAGAACAAGCCACAGGACTTTGTCATCCTGGCCTCCCGGCGGAAACCCTGCAGCAGAGGGTAAGCAGTAGGTGATGTCTCTGTCCCCATCACCCGGGCTGCACCCCGCTCACCCTGCTGTCCCCTGCCAGGGACCCCTACGTGGTGGCCTTTCGGTCGGTGACGCTGCCCACGCATCCTGCCAGCACCAACTACACACGGGGTGAGACGCTCTGCTCTGGCTTCTGCGTGTGGCCGGAGTCAGAGGAGATGAGCAAGGTGAGGGCTGTGGCCATGCTGTGCACTGCTAGGGTGTTCAGCCTCCGTGCCCAGCCGTGACACCCGTCTCCTGCTCATCACAGGTGGCTTACTACAACCAGGCAACGCCCGGGTACCTCAACTATGTCACCACCAACGTGGTGGGGCTGTCCTCCAACTTCTGTGCCACCTTCAAGGCCTGTGAGAAGTTCCTGTTGAAGAACAAGGATGACCTTATTGCACTGCTGCAGGACCTCTAGGCCTGGGGCTTTGCTGTTATCCATGGACAGACGTGGTCTTGCAAAGAAGGGTGTGGGGACAGAGTGGTGGCACTCAGGCCATGCCTTGCTGGGGCTTTGGCCTGAGCAAGGTCAGTGAGATGGGGACGGAGGGGTGTCACAGGGATGCACCATCTTCATACTGATACTTCCAGTCCTCTTTTTTTTCCCCTAATTTTATAAGCTGCTGAGTAGGACTTGAATTTTAGTTCAACTAATGCTACTTGATTCTTTGTACAATCCCAACTCTTCCTAATACTGATTTTTTTAGTTGTTTCTTAATGAGAGAAACTTTTTTGTAGTGGTGTGGATAGGGACTGTGCTGGGGGATGTGCTGCTCCACTGCTCCAGGCTGTAAGGCAGGGCTGGGGCACGACCACACTGCCCCTTGGCTCTCACCCAGAGCAGGGGGAGATGCACCTGAGGGGTGGGAAATGGGCTGCTTGTGCACCCACAGCGGGGCTGTCAGGTTTTCTCTGTTCCTGCAAGGAGAAGGTTGGCTGCCACCATGTCCCTGCCTCACATTCACTGATTTGGGTTCCCAACCCAAGATGCTGATGGGATGCCCACACTGGGCTGAGATCCCAATCCCATCACACTACCCTGCAGTCCTGCTGCTGACTACAGCTCTGCGTGGAAGGAGTGGCAATAAAAGTGCATCAGAAGGAAAAACCCTTACCTGCCTGAAGGTCTGCTTTGGGGGCTGTGGTGCTGCTGCCCTGGCAGTTAGATCTGTACCGTACCTTGAATTATAGTCATCCCCTGTGAGCCTCCACCTCCCCTGCCCTCTTATCACCACCAGATAAAGCTGTTTCAAGCTAAACATGGCACAAAACACTCAGTTTTTACAGTGACTCTTTATCTCCCAAAACTCAGGGCAATCCTGCCTCTTTATCACCAGGACGCGAGCCATACTTCCAACTTATCTGCAGGAATGGCTGCTGCTTGATTAAGTGCACACAGTGATGTATTCACCCCAATGCTGAACTTTGACTGACCTCTCTCCTTCCCAAAGCACTGTACTTTTTAATGTTTGGGGTGGAGGTTTTGGGGTGCAGGAGCCAGAGCAGGATTCCCCAGAGAGGTCCCCACCTGAGTGACTGCAGGAATGGTGATTTTTGGCCATGATGTTGCAGCTGAATTGAGCAGTAATTCCAGCTCAGCACCAAGCTGGGGGGTGGCTTGGCTGACACAGAAGGACCCAGCCCCAACCAGAACACAGTGCTGAGCAATGCGGAGCCTTCCAATGCTGTCAACTGCTGCAGCTGGTCTTCCTGCCCACCTCCTGGGAAGTGCAGATCTGTGTGAGCTCTGTGGCTGGTAGGTCCCTGCACTTGGCCTGGGAGGGGCTCTCCCCCCCAGGGTTGATGATGGGCAGTTGCCTCTCACTTGTGCCCAAAGGCATTCACCACATGTCACCCCTGAGCTGTTCAGCAAAGAGGAAACAGCCCAGGTAGAATCGGAGTCATTAAAGACCATCTGGTCCCACTCCCTGCAATGAACAGAGACACCCACAGCTCCATCAGGTGCTGAGAGCCCCATCCAGCCTCACCTTGGATGCCCTTGGGATGGGGCATCTCCCCAGTTTTAGTCTGAAACCATTTCCCCTTGTCCTACCACAGCATGCCCTGCTAAAGAGTTTGTCTCCTTCCTTCTTACAGCCTCCCATTAGATACTTACAGGCTGCTCTCAGGTCTTCCTATAGCCTTCTCCAGACTGCACAGCCCCAGCTCTCAGCCTGTCCTCACAGGAGAGGTGTTCCATCTCTTGGATCATTTTTGCATCCCTTTTCTGGATGCACTTGAACAGGTCCATGTCTCTCCTGCACTGAGGACTCCATATCTGGATGCAGTACTCCAGATGAGGCTTCAGAAGGGCAGAGCAGAGGGGTGGGATCACTCCCCTGACCTGCTGGCCATGCTGCTCTGGATACAGCCCAGGATACAGCCCAGGATACGGCCCAGGATACGGCCCGGGATACGGCCCGGGATACGGCCC